TAGCCAAATCGGTGCAGCCGTTTTCCGATTTTAGATAAATCGAAAAAGTGTGCGTAAAAGTGGGCGTTGTCAATTTTTCTTTCCGTAAAAACCTAAGTTGGACTATGACGAACATTTCAGTAAAAAAATTGTCCAAAAATGTCTAGCCGTTCTCAACTGATGTAATTACCAACGAACGACAATTGATTTTTATTTATATAGGTGTCAAATTTAAAATGTCAAAAATTTTTTTTATAATAAATTTTTAAAAAATTTTTCATAAATAGGAAAATATTAAAAAAATTTTTAAAACAGAAATTTTTCAAAAATTCTCTATAAATTAATTTTCATAATTTTTTTTTAATTAAAAAATATTCAAAAATCTTTTTTAAGTTAAGAAAATTATAGGAAATCTTAAAATTAAAAAATTTTCTACAAATAGAGAACATTTTTCAAACTTTCTTTTTATTTAAAAAAAACACCCAAGGATTTTTTGTAACCTTTGACCTCCAATATCTCGCTTAGCATACATGAGATTAATGGTGACTTTAGCCCCTTAATTATGTCACAACTTTCACTAAGCTATCTAAAATTGTCCCGTTTGCTCATATCTTGAACGATTTTTTTGGAAATTCTGTTTATAAAAGAAAATTTAGCGATATTTTTTAATAGAAAAATAGTATTTTTTATAAATACAGAGACAATTGTTTGAAAATATGAAAGTTTTTAATATTTTTAGAAATTTTAGAAAAATTTCTATAAACAGAAAATAACTGCATAAAGAAAAATTAAATAGTTTGAGATTGAGTTTTCCAACTGATATAGTACATTTTTCCAAAATATCAATGAAATTTTCCTATATATGTTTCTATATTAAGTACAAAAACTGCCAGAACATACTACAAACTATAAACAAACACTTTAAATTGTATAATTACAACTTTACAAGCAAATTAAATTAACAATTTAACTAATTTGCATACGATACAAGTACAATTAATATAATAAATCACTTTTTCTATGTTCGTTTATAGATCTTAAATTATGTGACAACAACTAAAACTCGATTGTAGTAAATAAATACTAAATACGTAGTTAAATAGTTGTTTAGAAAATTAAGTAAAAAAATTTAATTAAAACAACGACAATAGCACTAGTAAAAGCAACTATGAATGAAGTTCCAACTTATCCCTAAACAAAAAAAAAAACGGAAAGCGTGACACTTGTAATTAATGATGACAACTTGACATGATTTTAATCAGTCCAAGTTTTGACAAACAAAAAATATTTAGACACACACATTGTAGTATTTGTTTAAATTTATGTCTTTTTTTTTTTTTTGTTTTTTAGAAAAATTATTTAGTGCATTTTTGAAATATTTGTTAGCGTTACAAAAAAAAAGGTGTTTGAACAATGTGAATATGGTGTTGAGTTATTTTAATGATAAAAATAATAAAAGTGAAATGAGATAATTTTTAAATATTAGCTTTAAATAATTAAAATTCTTTTAGAAAATTTTGCCAAACTTCATTATTATCATTTTTCAATTGTACAATTTTGTTAACTTGTACTTTAAAACCAATTGAACCATTTCACTTTCTAATGTGAGTACCTCTTCATTGTTAAAAATTAAATGTTTGTCATTGTAAATATTTATAAAAAAAATAAAAAAAAACAAAAAAAACAATTATGTACATATCATAATAAACATTAACTTTAATCTCACTTCTAGAATAACATTTATAAACTGTCAATTAAAAATTTACAACCACCAGCAGCAGTTGATCGATTTTGAAAAAACCCAACCATTATAAAAATAGTTGTTTTTTTAATCAATTATAAAATTTATTAACATACTTTTTTTGATAATATTAGTTATGTTTAGTTTTATTTAATCGATTACTCGTTTGATTGGACCAAAATTAAGTTAGATTTTTGGAACTTAATTTCAATTATTTGAATATTGAACAGGTCAAATTTCATCCAGTTCAGGTTACGGGAACTAGTTTTAACAGTTATATTTTGATTTTTCGAATTTAATACTGTAATATATTCGCGATTACGAAGCCCATTTAATACATTCCGTTACAGATCAAAGTTATGCGAATAATCCAGAAAGTGATACACGCCTTTTCGCGACATTTAAGAGATAGAACCTAAAAGCATTAAAAAGTCTTGATAAATTGAATTGAAGGAATGAGTTGCTGTCAAACCAGCCTCGTCAATCAAAATTGTGTTTCAGAAATAATGAAAATATTTCCATGTCTTCCAATTAAAGAATTCCAAATCGAAAAGTGAGTTTTGTGACCTCAAAGTTTTAATTTTTTTATATTAAAAAGAATTCTTAGAAAATTGGACTGAATAATTGAGCTGCTGCGAAGAGAGCCGTATAAATAAAATTGTGTTTCAGAAATAATGGAAATACTTCCACGCCTCCAAACTAAAATATTATAAATCAAAAAATTAGTTTTGAACCCTTAATGTGCATTTTTTTTATATATACACATGTACATACATACATATATTAAGTAGAGTGTCCCGAGGGACTGCCTTGATGCGTATTAATGTATTGAATACCAGCAAAATAAATTTTTTTCTGTAAGGGGACCCAGTTCCCTACCAGCAGTTGAAAATTTCGATCTCAGTACAATATGTTAAAATAAATTTTGCAATATTTTCAAGATGGGTCTCAAAAACATCATAATTTTGAGCTGATTACGGGTAACATAATTGTTTTAGAGCATTTTTGGTCCAAAAATATATATTTTTATATATTTTTATCGTTTTTTATCGAAATAGGTGTCAAAATTGTCTTATTATTTAGTTTATAGGAGAAATATATTTTTTTTAATTTTTTGGCATTAGGTTTGATCCAACAAATTTTTAACCTAGAGACCAAAATATACTTTTATAAAGCATTGAGCCCCGCTGAAACCAAATCTGTCCTCAGAATTGCTCCATCTGGGATTAGAGATATCGTCTCCTAAAATTTGAAAAAAAGCCATTTTTGGACCTTTTTGGGAAGTTATATCTACAAGACAACTTTTATTAATTGTATGCCATCTAAAAGTCCTTTCTGTTAACTTTATCATCTGACGTATCTTCTTTATTTTTCGAGATATCTTCACCTAAAGCTTGATATAACAATTAATTGACAAAAACTGTATTTTTTTGTACATTTCGCTTTTATTTTCCAAAAAAAAAAAACGCATTCCAATTTTTTACACTTTTTATACCCAAAACCACTTTAGTGGGGAGGAGATGTTTATAACGCACAATAATATTGGTCCTATACCTGCTTTAAAGTATACCAATCGGCTTAGAATCATTTTCTGTGTCGATTTAGCTATGTCCGTCCGTCCGTTTGTCTGTCCGTCCATGTAAAATATGTAATTAAACTACAGGTCGCAATTTTAAAGGGACGAAGCCTATTGAAAATTGTTATGATCGGTCCATTATTTCACCTAGCCCCCATACAACTGAACCCCCGAAAAGGGCTTGTAAACTTTGTAATCAAAGTACAGGTCGCAATTTTAAAGATAATTCAAAGAAATTTTGCACATGATCTTCTATTGTACTAGAGACGAATTCTATTGAAAATGGGTAACATCGGGCCAATATTTGAACCAGTCCCCATACAACTGAACACCGCGAATAGGGCTTTTAATTTGCACATGATCTTCTATTGTACTAGAGACGAATTCTATTGAAAATGGGTAACATCGGGCCAATATTTGAACCAGTCCCCATACAACTGAACCCCGCGAATAGGGCTTTTAAGTTCATAATTATGTTTAATGTACTCGTATCTCGACAAAAAGCTGCATAACCAAGTTTCATACTAGCCCCGATAAATGTATTAATGATAGGGCCTCATTTGACCCTATACAAAGCCCCCTTCGAAATATGACTTAAATGTACGCAATTTTATTCAACAAAAAAATGGCTTAAGTATATCTGAGGCAAGGTATTATATGGTCGGCCTTGCCCGACTCATGACCTTATGAATTCTTTTAAAATCTGCTGTAGTTGTTGAGATATCATCCGTTGAAGTTTATAGACGCACATACATACATTATTAAGTCGATTCAGAATGTGATTTTGAGTCGATTGGATCAAAGTATAAACTATGGGAAATACCATTATTAAATAAAGAATTTTTCGAACTATATTTTAAAATTGATAACTTTTTTGTAAATTTCTAAAAAAAATATTCAAAAATAATAAAAAATTTTAAACTTTTCAAATCGTAAACATTTCATTTAATTGTAACTGTAACTATAACTTTAACTGTTTAAAAACTAAAAATAAACTGAAAATCTCTTTTACCTTCAATATTTAATTTTTATCATTAATTAAATACTTATGTATTTCTGTACAGCAATTTATTTGGTTTCACGCAATCTTCTTTTTTTATCTTTTTAAATCATAAGTCAATAACACTTTTTCTCTACATGTTGTGAACACGAACATTTGAAATTAAATATTTAACTCACTCTACAATTGTCTTTTTTTAGTAACACTTTAAACAGATTTTTTTTTTTCGTTTTATAGTTTTGGTATAAAATTCCTATTTGAACAATTTGAATACTTGAAAACATTTTTTGTGGCGTTTTTATCTTAATCCCTATACTTGTGATATTTGTTTAAACAATTGTTAATAAAAATTACAGATATTGCACAATGCGAGAAAAGTCAAAGGGGAACGAAAAGTAAAAACTCAAAGATGAACTGTGTAGTTAATTATTAAATTAATAATAAAGTTTTTGTCAGGCTACAGTTCAAATCCTGGGCAGTATTTAGAAAATAAATAAAAAAATTAATAATTTATATAAAACCTATAAATATCTAAAGCTGGTCACCTTATACTACTTTGTCGATTACCACACAATTCGTTACACTTATTATTTTGCTGTTAAACACTCATGTTATTTGTTATAAAAACTATTTAAGTACTTGAAGATAAAAATATAAATAAACAATTAATAATTTTATAATAAAAATTGCGTTCACATTTACAGATATGTCAGCCATGGTTGGTGTTAAGGACATCACAGATAATAAAAAGATCTGGCGCCAACTGTTGGCCGAATTGATTGGTACCTTCTTTTTGGTTGTCATTGGTGTTGGCAGTTGTACAGGTGGTTCGGAATGGAAACCATCAATACCACAAATAGCCTTTACTTTCGGTTTAACTGTGGCCACATTGGCTCAGGTGAGTTATTATTATTATTTGATTTTTTTCTTCAATATATTTTTATTATTATTCGCATGCATATTATACATAAATACCAAATAATACAATCGTTTGATTGATCTCTTTTATGGAGAAAAAAAAAAATAAATTTCAAACAATCGTTAAAAAAATAATCGAAAAAAAACATAAAAAATCTATAAACAATTATAATATGACCATCATGCAATTATTTGAATGCATTTCAACTTTTAATATTTTTATTAAATTTTAAATGTCATCTTTAATGAACCCTGAGGTATTTATTTGCTATAATTGGAAATTATTTGGAGAATGGTGTTTAAAAATAAATTAAGCTAAACTTACCGTTATATATATTTAGGATATTTCAAAGTTATGATCTTGTGGTAATTTGGAGAATGTCTGAAAAAAAGTAAAAATATGTGCGATTTAAAACAATCAAGTTCAGAATTTACTAAATTAAGAAAAAATCATAAACTGATTAAAAAAAAGTATTATAAGCTCGTTATATCTAAAATGATATGATTTTTGGGCTGAGAAATTTGCAATAATAAAAGCCCGTAGGACTCTATATTCGTGGAATCTATCGGTCAGAAGAGAAGGCCGAGGGTAGAGGCAACCGCGAATAGAGACTACTATGAAAATTAACTGGCTGCTTATTTAGCATGAACTGGATCCGCTTTGGATATCTCCAACGCCTTTCAATTTCAATGCCGTTGGTATTTATTAAATGAAGTATCTTAATGTTGTCTGCGAATGCCCTGTCCTAGCTGTCAAGAAGATTGGATTTCTGAGCAAATGGAGGATTTAGTACCACAGGAATATACATTCCGATACATCTGAATAGTCGTGTGATATTATCAGAACAGAGTTCTTATAGCTCTACAGCAAACTAAATTAAATTAACCAACCAATAGTCTCGACTATATTCTTGCAATAGTCCAGCATGTAGTGTCGACTATAGTATAGTTGTTCAATTTCATAGACTTGGCTATAGTCAGGTGTATAGACTAAACTGAAATGGAAATTAGACAATAATCGAGTACAGTCAATAATCTCGACTATAGTTTAGTCTTTAATCTTTAAAATATGTATGCTGGTGTAGATTGTTGCCTACTATAGTCAAGTCTATAGACTAGACCAGACTATAGTCAGAACTATGCACTAAACTAAAGACTAGACCATAGTCAGAACTATACACTAGACTATAGTCAGAACTACATATAGTCAGAACTATAGACTAGACCATAGTCAAAACCATAGACTAGACTATAGTCAGAACTTTAGACTATAGTCAGAACTATATACTCGACTATAGCCAGAATTATAGACCCGACTATAGTCAGAACTATATACTCGACTATAGCCAGAATTATAGACCCGACTATATTCAGAACTATAGACTACACTATAGTCAGAACTATATACTAAACTATAGACTATAGTAGAACGATACACTAGTAGAACGACACACTATAGACTATACTGTAATCAGGACTATAGACTAAACTAAATATAGTCAGAACTATAAACTCGACTATAGTCTAGACCAACGGTTCCCAAAAGGGGGTCCGCGGACCCCTAGTGGTCCGTAGCAAAATCCTAGGGGGTCCGCGAAGACGAACGAAAAAAATCATGAATAAAAAATATTCTCTATATGTTAGAAAATATTAAAAATATCTCCAAATTTTTCATAAATACTAAAATACACAATTTTTATTCAATAATCCCAGATTTGTTGGTGACTCTTTGAATTTTATTGTTTCGGTCGTTTATCAGGATGAAGCTAGGCCCTACAAATTTATTGTTTCACTTTTATAAAGTAAAGTATTATGTGATTTGTAATTTTTATAAATGTATATGAATCGAAATAAGTGTTTTTATAGCAGACGGATAATGATTTGCCTTAGAATTAAATACTGATACTGGTATCCCGGAATATGAAGTTAGGTCACATTTCATATTTTTTTTAAATTGTAAGCAAAAGTGTTAATCTAGTTAATTTTAAATATAAATATTCCATTCCGACGTGATACACAGATTTTAACTTAATTTTGTTGTTCAATATTATTAAATCAACATCAGAAAATTCATAGCGTTATGCGTAAATAGTCAAAACCACGCAGTAAAATAATTCGTAGGTATTTTAAAATTCAAATTTAAGATCCAAATTCACAGTACATTCGCAAAGAGTTCAGGTCATATTTTATGTGGGTAACGCATTCCGCAACAACATCGAAGAAGTCTAACTTTCACATATTTTCCCGAAAACTTAGCTTACATACTCAGCTCACTCCTATGCAATCGCAAAAAAAATTTAGAAACATGACTCTTTAAGCACATGTCGACAATACTTGATAAAGAAACCTTTTCGCTACCTTGACGAGAAATGAACATGAAAGCTCTCACGATCATAAAATTAAACATCATGTTAGAAGTCATTCTATATTTAAAACCATGCAATTGAAAACATCTCCGAAATACTAAATATTCTCAATGTACGGGAATATTTTATAGGGTTTATGAACCAGGACTAAGACAATTTTCGGACGAACAATTACACAGTGATACAGCAAAAAAATGCAGGGGTTCTCATATACCAATTCCATTTCGTTATAGTCCATAGAGTAGGAATATATTTTTAATTTCTCCCGATCACTTCGTTTAGTTCCTCTTTAAGAGCAAAAGATGTGAAAAAGAGCTATTTTTGAAGTTTTAACTTTAAAACAATATATGTTTGGTAGTTTGCAACCGATTTTCAAATTGGATATTTTGTTTTAAAGATACAAGTGTTGTCTTTCAACCCAAAAAAATAAATCCAAAATTTATGATTAATGTCTTGGTTACGGCCATTTAAGTAAAAAAACTCACACTTTTTCAACAATTTTTAATTTTCATACTGCTCTACGTTGGCCATGAAGCAGTAACTTTAGCTTTTATTACATTTGAAAAAAAGGCACATTAAGTTGGGTTTCCAATGATGGTCAATTTATGATAATCGATGAAAAAGGTTATGAGTTGTGCTCAGTTTTATAAAAATATAGCATATTTCTTCCATACAAAAATGTTCATGTTTCTGGTTTTCTTTGTAACAAGTTTAAAAAATGTTTATAAACATTTTTATGCAAAAATTAATTTGTATGGAGAAAACCAAAAATTCGAGGAACATGCTATTAGAAAAATTGTCATAAATCATCCAGTTTTTCATAGATTTTTATGAAATAACAAGTTTTAGAAACCTTTCTTTATGTGATTCTTCAGGAAAGTAATAAAAGATGAACTCACTGCCTCATGGCCAAAGTAGAGCATGATGAAAATGAAAATTTTTTAAAAAAGTGTGAGTTTTTTACTTAAACGACCGTAACTCAGACATTTGACCATAAATTTTGGATTTCTTTTTTTGGATTAAAAGGCAACACTTGTATCATTAAAAAAAAATATCGGATTTGAAAATCGGATGAAAACTACTAAACTTATGATTTTTCAAATTTAAAATTTCAAAAATGGCTCTTTTTCGCATCTTTTGCTCTTAAAAAGTAAGTTAACGAAGTGATAGGGAAAAACTAAAAATATATTCGTACTCTATGGACCATAACGAAATAGAATTGGTATATGAGAACGACTGCATTTTATTTTTCTTCACTTTTGTATCACAGTGTTATTTATAACAATAAGATATCAAAATATGTATGGGGGTCCGTGAAATTAAATAAATTCCTCAAGGGGTCCGCGAAGTAAAAAACGGTGGGAACCGCAGGTCTAGACTGTAGCCAGTACTATAGACAAACTACAGACTAGACCATAGTCAGAACTATAGACTATAGTAAAACTATAGAGTAGATTATAGTCAGAATTATATACTCGACTATAGCCAGAACTATAGAGTAGATTATAGTCAGAACTATATACTCGACTATAGCCAGAACTATAGAGTAGATTATAGTCAGAACTATATACTCGACTATAGCCATAACTATAGACCCGACTATAGTCAGAACTATATACTAAACTATACTCAAACTATACACTAGAATATAGTCAGAACTATAGACTAGACTATAGTCAGACTATAGACTAGACTATAGTCAGAACTATAGACTAGACTACAGTCAGAACTATAGACTAGACTGTAGTCAGAACTATAGACTAGACTATAGTCAGAACTATAGACTAGACTACAGTCAGAACTATAGACTAGACTATAGTCAGAACTATAGACTAGACTATAGTCAGAACTATAGACTCGAAGTATAGGGCTATAGTCAGAACTATAGACTAGACTATAGTCAGAACTTACATTAGGTTGTAGTTAGAACTATAGGCTAGAGTATAGTCAGAACTGTAAACAACAGTCAGAACTGCAGACTATAGTCAGAACTTAGACTAGACTACAGTAAGAACTATAGACTAGACTATGGACTAGATATACTTTGATTAACTCTATTGTGGACAGTATAGACTAATGTATTATTGCCTATATAGACTAATATTTAGTTTAGACTATAGTAATATTTTAATATTTATATGTTTTATACTTTCTGATGTATATGTATGTGTATGTATATTAGATTGTCCCGAGGAACATAGCTTTTGAGAATTTTAGGGAGACACAAGTCTCAAATAAATACGCATCGTTTGAGACTTGTGCTTCCTTAAAATTTTATTTTTTCCATATTTAATGCAGTAATACTCATCGTTTGAGAGGTGTGCTAAGTAAACTAAAAATTTTAAAATTTTCTATATAAATTAGTAGCAGCAGTTAATAAGAATCTTTAAATAAAAACCGTAAAAACCTCGATTTATCTATAACCAATCAATAATATTGAAAAAAATTGCAAAATAGAAATGACAAAATTCTTTCACGCAGATTTTGAGTTTGAGGTGAAGGGTAGAATGATCGATCCGTCACAAATAAAAAAAAAACGATTTTAATGAATTGATTTGTTTTTCTGTTTTGCTTAATTGTAATTATTTCTTTAAGAAAAAAAAATATCACAAATATCAGCATCAACAACGTCGTCATTAACATTAAACAATCGTCATCATTATCATTGTTGTTGCTGTTGTTGTTAATTACACCTTGATAAACCTGTTCAAAAAATTAGATTCTAAAACAAAATTAAGAAAAACAAATTCAAACAACGAACATAGCACTAAGAAACGTTAAATTAGAAACAAAAAAATAGAAATAAACTTCTTACGCATGCTTAAAAACGCATTTATGCAATTAGTGCAAATGTTTCAAATTTAAAATTCTGTCGTTGTAGAGTTGTTTGTTTAGTTGTATATATTTTTTTTTTTCTAATTTATACGATTCATTTATCAAAAACTGTTTCTGTCTGTCTGTTTACTCATTTATAGACTTACTGCAAGTTACTTACTTACGCATTAAGTTGAGTTTA